GAAAGAAACCAAAGCCACCTGAAAATAAATTTCTTTCATACTCAATGCAATTGCAAAAATTACTTAAATGTTGTCTTTTTATTTTTGCAACATTAATGAGTTAGCATTATAATAAATCACAATTTTTCTAAATAAATCTTTAATAGTTATTGAAGAAACACAAATGTCATTCCCTTAAAGTTCCCCTTCTATAAAAGGGCACCCAAGCAATGAGAGTACATTTTGCAGCTATCAGAGCCTTGATAACCAATGTAGTTGCTGATTTCAGTTGGTCATAGATTCTGTAGATCAGGCCCATTTCTAATCAAAAGATGTTTGTGTAATTCTAGTCACGTATGAATCATTTTATTACTTTAACATTATACTCAGTTCTTTTTTGAGCAAACTCAAATGCACTTAACTAGTTTCTTTCATTTTTCTCTGTCCCCTATGATCTTCATCAAACCAATATTGTTTCATGGCTGATCTACATAGTCTTCCTTTGATTTCCATATTTAGGTTCCCACAAGAGTCCATTACTTAACAGTTTTTCTTTCATCCTCAATCATCCCTAATGAGGGATTCTCTCATAATTTCAATTTTCTGCAGAATTCCATGTTTGTTTGGTGTTCTTTCCAGGATACTCCAAGTAAAGCTGTAAACATTGTATGTATACCTTTATTTACTGGAAAAAAAAAACAAACCTATTTTTAAATATTTGGAACATTTGGCCTTTTTTTTAAAAATCTTTTCACACCAAGCAAGGCAACAAAGCCACTAAGGCACAAGGAGTTGCTGAATGTGAAAGAATAAGAAAACAAAAACATTATTAAGGAGCAAGAACTATAAAAGAGAAATCAAAAAGGCAGTAGCTAACGATTGACATTGCTTTCAAAGTTTTGCAGATCAAAGTTGACTGGAAAGCAAGAATCAAGAAGAGAGTTCTACAAGCAAAAAGTATGAGGAAAGAAACTGTTAGCATAGAACTTATGGTTACATATAGCCATCTCAACTGTAAATCAGTGAGACCTTGTTTACCAATATAATACTGCACTTAAATTCATAAAGTCTAGGTGCAATACAGGAAAGTTCATCAGAACAATTACTGTCAAAGTATTTATCGGGAAGTGTCATACCTGATGTACCTATTCTATTATTAATAGACTCTCCCACACATAATAAGTATTAGTAGTAGTAGCGGTCGACAATGGGGCTCAGTGGTGTTGAGTGAGTGATTGCTGCGTCATTAACTCTTATTGCAAGTTCCTAACGTTTTGTACGTCAGACTTTTTAGGACTGACTTAGTGAAGTACAAGCCTCCACTGTGAAAAACTACTCTACAACAGGAAGATACATTACAGTGGTGGAAAAGTGACTGAAGCTGAGATGCCAGGTCAGAACAAGTAACATTGCAGATTCTTATTTTATATCTTTAAATATATAACAGGAACACCAACCATATATGATAGCAATATTCTAAGCATGGATGAATGCTTAGATGAATGCTTATAAACATGCAAGAAAGATTCTGTAGTGAAAAATTATCTACTACATGTAGATAAAAAATCATATCTGAATTCAACTTTCACTTTCATATAACTGACTAGCAAGGATACCTCACAAGTATGTTTTGGGCAGCTTTTGAACAACTTGAAAAATCACCAATAGCTTTCATCAGCACTTGGCTACTTCTTTGATGTACTGTGTTCATTCAGGACATGGGCAATCATGGTTCTCCACAATTTCCTGGCTTTTGTAGCACTTAGTAAATTTTGTCTTTTTTCTAACTCTCCTAAACCTTGTTCTGCTAACTATTTACATGAGTTCATTAGGTAGGTTATGTGCCGTTTTCCACTGTCTCTTTTGCATTCAATATATCCTGTGAGTGTCTAAACCCTCATTATGTGTCCTAGAAATGTCAACTGTCTCTTTCTAATGTTAAATATAAGTGTCTTTTTTGTCTCGATTTTCTCTAAAACTTTGTCATTGCTCAGATGTTTGGTCTATGGTATCCTCAGCATCCTTCTGTAGAACCACATTTCTGTTGCTTCAAGTCTCTTCTATAGTCGAGCATTCACTTAAGGCTGATATTACGTAACAGTTCAGTACTCTTATCTTTGTACTCTAATGAAATTTTCCTGTTTTTTTTTTTAATGCTGCTAAATATAAAAAATTATTTATCAGGTGTTTTCCTTCCTCCCTCTCTTCCATCCTAACTTATACAGAAGAAGTCACTGGTGCTGACTAGAAGTTCCACCAAGACAATGCTCTCAGGTACAAAGCAAACAACAATGGTTACAGAACCACAATATTGACATTTTGGGTTGGCCAGCACGTTTTCCCAACCTGAATCCAGTTGGAGTATTCTTGCTTATAAGTTGTACAAAGGGGGGGCTTCAATACTATTCAACCCATGAATTGAAAAAGTCACTACAGGATTCATGGACTTTAACAGACAATGATCAATTGTGTGGAAACTTTGCCAGGAGGCATTTTTTTTAGCTTATTTATCATCAAAGATTACAAGTCACTAAAAATAAAGAATTTTTTAAACATTCTGTTATTGGTCTTATAATTTCCCAATAGCTTAAGAAGTACTTTCAGAAAAATATTTGTCTGTCTATAAAAACTCATAATTCCAAATAGTTTCTAAATATGCATTATATTTCTAGGTAGTACATAAGAAACAAGACTTATCCAAACAAATAACTGAAAGTTTTTAAACGGAGCGCTGATCTTATAAAACTTTCAGTTATTTGTTTGGATAAGTCTTGTTTCTTATGTACATTGTCTTTGTCATGTTGTATTGATAATGTTATAATTTATGAATATGTCCTGAAGATGGTTTATTAGACCAAAACATCCGACGTTGACATATTAACATTAAAACAGCATAATTGTATATAAGGATTTTTGTTTGTTTTTTCCATATATATTTTTCTTTATACTGTCGGATCTATATCCATATATTTGCTTACATATATATATATATATATATATATTGGTGTTACAAGGGCACCATCAGAGCACAAACATGATTATAAAATTACAAAAAAATATCATATATAAAACAATGAAATAAGCATAGATAAAATGATTTAGTACACTAAGAAGGATGTGAAATATAATCAATCCTGACCAAGCATCTCGAATTTAGTCACTTTCTCACTGACATAAAATGGCTTCTCTCTGTCTTTTCTACAAATATTTTCATAGCAACTGCAGTGACAAGATTTTCTCCCTGGTGCCCTGACTCCATGAATTTACACGTGCTACTAGATTGTCATCTAGGCCCCACCCTTTCACTGTTGAAATATCTAAATGCAGCTGCCACTTCTACTCCAACAGTTTCTTTTCCCACACTTCCCACCTGTGGAACTCCCTTCTGTTTACGTACTTCCCTGATAACTGCAATCTTCAAAATTCAAATGCACCTTCAATTGCCATCTTTTGCCTTCTTGAATCCCTTTCATCTTTTGTCCTTTCCTCAATCCTCTCTATTCTTGGTCTTCTCTTTCACTTTCACTTTCACTTTCTGTAATCCCCTGCATACTTGTGACCTTGCTTGGGATGAAATGATTAAAAAAAAATATTCAGAGAAATGATTGTATATTTTAAAGAACATATATGTATACAGAAATAAAAAACGTTTTTCTTATCTGTTGATGGCAACATGTTTTATCAGAGAAGTGTCCAGGACATCTGCCTCCTTTGGCCATTGAAAAATAATTACTAAGAAAGTTTTGATTTTTGTTTCATTTGGATGTAAAAACTTTTTTATGATGCATCATGGGAGTATTCTATATTTGTCTATATTTCTGAGATGAGGTATTATGTACATTATTTATATTATTCGGACTATTGTCCTCATCTTTGTCGCTATATTTATTATTACAACATTTCAGCCATTGTACATTCCGGCCTTCTTCAGGTGGTTGGAATGTTGAACTGAACCCTTTATTTCTCTTGCTGGGGTAGACTGTTCTAGTTCCACATGCCATGTTTAATGGATGTCAGTTATCTTCTGTTAATTCCCCTCTCCAAGTTCTCCACTGCCTTAACCAGATATTGAACTCACACTCTTTGGGTGCTGTCACTGGATCTAACTAATGCCTTTATCCACTGTGCCATGTGTCCTTGAGGACATTAGACATGGCATGTGGAACTAGAACAGTCTACCCCAGTGAGCAAAATAAAGGGTTCAGTTTGACATTCCAACCACCTGAAGAAGGCCGGAGCATACAACGGCCGAAACATTGTAATAATAAATACAGCGACAAAGATGAGGACAATAGTCCAAATAATGTAAATAGTATTCTATATTTATTTAACGATTTTTTTTATAATCTAAATTAACTTTTCCTTTTTTTTGTTAATTACCATTCTTTTTAAAGTATTTTTATTGCTTAACTTTTAATTTTTCTTTTATTATTCATTAGACAGTCTAGTAGTAAGTGTGGGAGGCTGTTTAGTAATTTATTTGTTGCTACCACTGCAACTATTTAACAACTAAGCTGTAAGGGATTACTGAGAGTGAAATAATTAAGGAGAAATTAAAATAAAAGAACAAAATTCAAGGAAAGTTATGTTAGCATAGAATTTATGGTTATATCCAGCAATTTCAACTGTAAAATTATGAGACCTAGCTTCCACTCCAGTACTACACTTAAATTTGTAAAGTTGAGGTACGAAAGAGGAAAGATTATCACAACAGTTATCATGAAAATATTTATAGAAAAGACACAAGGAAGCATTACAGTAGTGAGAAAGTGACCGAGGCTGAGATACCAAGTCATGACCAGCGTTGTAGATATAGCTGGACAAAAAGGAATCAACTTCTAATATGAAACATCAATATTAATTGGTGACTTTTCTTTTCAAAAAATCCCAAACAAAATTATTTGTTTGTATGCAACCAACCTCAAGACAACTCAACATGTCTCAATGATTGAAAACTTATTTTTTATAATTTTTGCCATTGGTGATATTTAAATAAAAAAGATATCACAAATGATTTTTGTATGTTTCACATTCTTTTCTTGTGTAACTTTTCTTTTCTCCTGTTTTCATTTCTGATTTTTCATTTCTTTATTGTCCATTTACATTATTTTATAAATTCTGTCTTTGTTTTTTTTCTTCTTTTCTTTGTTTTACTTTCATACACTTTTTCTTTCTTTCTCACTTCTTTCTTTCTTACCCTCACCCTTCATTTTTCTTCTTTCTTACTTTTTAATCAAACCTTTTTTTTATCATTCATTACTTTTATCTTTCTTCCGCCTTTGTCCTTTTTCATTTTCTTCCGTTTCTTCTTTCATTCCTTCTTGCTACTCTTTCTTCCTCCTTTGTCCTTTTTCATTTTCTTTCCTTTCTTCTTTCATTCTTTCTTACTATTCTTTGTCCTTTTTCATTTTCTTTCTTTTTCATTTCCTCCTTTCTTTATCCCTTTTCTTGTCTTGTCACTCTTTCCTTTTTTCTTAGTTCTTTCTTGTCTTTTCTTTCCAACTTCCTTTTCCTCCATTTTCTTTCCTTGCTTACATTTGCCCTTCCCTCTTCTATTTTACTCATTTATTATTTCTTTTGTCTTTCTTTCTAACTTCCTTTTCTTTATTTTGTCCCTCCCTCATTCTTTATTCTGCCTTTCTTTCTTTCTTTCTTTCTTTCTTTCTTTCTTTCTTTGTCCACTTTTGTCTTTCTTTCCATTTTTCTTTTACTACATTCGTTATTCTTTCTTTTCTTGCTTCATTTGTGCGTTCTTTCTTCCTTATATCATTTTTGTTCCTTCTTTTCTTTTTCCTCTCTCTCTCTCTCTCTCTCTCTCTCTCTCTTATTCTTTACACTTTTACTATTTTCTTTGTTCTTTTGTGCCTTCATCCCTCCTTCAATAATTTTGGCTTTTTTTCCAACTGCACTTCCATTTTTTCCAGACAATATTTTTTCTTCTACAATTCTCCCCTACCATCTGCTCCTCTTCCACACATTTTAATCCCCAGAAGATTCCCCACCCATGTCTTATCTCCCTTCTGTACAGAACAATATTTGTCCTAAAAACATTCGACAACAAAAGCCCATAGAAATTGGCAGCCATTATAAAAAAAGGACATTCTTGTTTGCATAGTTTTCATTTTATTTTTTTTGTCAACATTGTATGTTCAACTTCGTGATGACCAAAGTACAGACATATTTTCTTTTATAGTCAAGAAATATTTGCAAATTCACTTTTAGCTGTCTATAAATAAAATATTCAATTCTAGTCTTTTCTAAATATTAAGAAAAATAAAATGATAAAAAGGCTGTAAGTGTTTCATTTTTAAAAACAACAATTGTTATTTTGGTAGATTTCATTTTTTCAAAATGTTAATTTATCAATATTTAAGAGGTAAGAGAAATTTAAAACATGAGGTCTGAGATAAAAATTATGGTTTTGAAAGTTTGCCTTATGGCTAAGGTAGTTCCATATTTCTGACAAATGCTAAAAACTGTGAAAATATTGAATGCTGATATTCAATACATGCAAATCCCTTATATGGAACATTGGTGCTACACAGTCTTTTAGCCTTATGCTAAGGAATACTTACATAGAGTATCTATGATAGCACCACATTTCCCAATGGGGCCAATGATTAATATTCAAGGCCAGGAAATTTTGGAATGCTGACTTTACCATTTGGTACTGTGCAACACAGCCTTAAAATTCTTCAATTTAGACCAGTACAAAGAAAAGCTTACTATATATATCTGTAACAAAGCTGTGCCTGCATGTATATGAATGTGGATGAGTATGTATAAATGTATGTATGCATGTGTGTGTGTGCGTGCATGCATGTGTGTATGTGTGCACACATTTCTAGATGCATGCTAAACTCATGGAGAGCAACACACTGTGTGTTCTTGGCTTCACATTTTCAACAGACTTTAAATGGAATGACTACATCGAATCAATAGCTGCATCTACTGCAAGGAAAGTTGAGTCACTAGAAGTTTTTTCTTGCCAGAGTCCATATTGCACATTTACAAATTTACCATTCTTTCATGCATTGAATACTGTTGACATATCTGATCAGATGCTTCTGCTACCAATCTTGAGGTTCTTGGCAAAATCCAAAGTAGGATCTGCAATGTAATCAATCCTGACTTGGTATCTCAACTTCAGTCACTTTCTCACCAATGTGTCTTTTCTACAAATATTTTCATTGCTACCACTCTGACAAGTTTTTTTCCCGGTGCCCTGAATTTAAGCATGCTACTAGATTGGCATCTAGGTTCTACCCTTTTACTGTTGAAATAGGTAAATGTAACTGCCACTTCTACTCCAACAGTTTCTTTACTCACACTTCTCGCCTGTGGAACTCCCTTCCATTTACTCACTTCCCTGATAACTACAATCTTTCAAAATTGAAATGCAATGTCAATTGCCATCTTTTATCTTGTTGAACCCCGTTCAGCTTTTATTCTTTCCTTGGTGCCTGCTTTACCCAGTCATTTCTCTCACCTTCACTCTCTGTAATCCCCTGATCTATCCCAATTAGCAAATGTTATTCTTTCTTTTCATATGCACATCTTTTATTTTCAATCAGCAAAGAAACATGTACATTTCTTGTGGTCTGTTACTGTTCAAAATAAATTTCAAAATTACTTTGAATTTCTCTAAGAAAGGTCCTAAAATTTTGAATCATTAGTGTCTAGAAACTTGACTAATTTTACCTATCTGTCTATATTTCTGAGATGATGTATTATATACACTATTTACATCATTCGGACTATTGTCTTCATCTTTGTTGCCATATTTATCACAACATTTTGGCTGTTGTATGCTCCGGCCTTCTTCAGGTGGTTAGAATGTCAAGCAAAATAAAGAATTCATTTTGACATCCCAACCACCTGAAGAAGGCCGGAGTGTACAACGCCCGAAACATTGCGTTAAATATGGCAACAAAGATGAGGACAATAGTCCAAATAATGTAAATAGTGTAATTTTACCTAGTCAGCATTTTTTAATTCATTGAACCTAGTCAGTGTCTTAACTCATACCTAGCCTGTGTCTTTATACTCATTGTACCTAAGCAGCATCTTTAAACTTGTACCTAGTTAGTGTTTTTTAACTTGTTGTACCTAGTGAGCAAATTTTTACATATTGTACTTTGTGCCTTTTAACACCTTGTACCTTTTCAGCGTCTTTTAACTTCTTTTACCTAATCACTGTCTTTTAAAATATTGTACTTAGTATTTTTAAATTGTTGTATGTAGTCAGTGTCTTTTAACTCATTGTACCTTGCCAGTGTATTTTAATTTTTTGTACCTTGTCAGCATCTTTTAACTTTTTGTACCTAGTCAATATTTTTTTAAGTTGTACCTACTCGTCATCTTTTAAATTGTACCTTGTCAGCATCTTTTAACTTGTTTTACCTAGACATTGTCTATTAACTGATTGTACCTAGTCACTGTCTTTTAACTTTTTATACCTAGTCAGTGTTTTTTTAACTTTTTGTATCTAGACAGTGTTTTTTAACTCCTTGTTCCTAGTCAGACTATTAAAGTCATTGTACCTTTTGTCAATGTCTTACCTTTTTGTACCCTATCAGTGTCTTTAAACTTAAAAGTCTTGGAAATCTGATTATATTACAACAGGGTAATTTTGATAACGTGATTTTTTTTTTTTTAAGCATTTCACCCCAAGCAAGGCAGGAAGCCACTAGAACACAAGGGGTTATAGAGGATTTGGAACAGGAGCAAGTCGGAATGAAAGAGGAAAGGATGGGGAGAAGGACAGTGGATAGATCAAGGCAACTCGAGATGTCGATTGACATTACATTTGAATAGTTGGTGATTATAGCTCTCAGGGAAATAGGAATAGGGAAGGGAGTTCCACAGGCGAGAGGTGTGAGATATGAAGCTATTGAAGTAGAAGAGACAGCTACATTTAACAGTTTCAACAGTGAAAGGGTGAGAGTGAGATGCCAGTCTCGTAGGATGCTTGAATTCGTCTGGGAACCAGCGAAAGCAGCTCATCGGAGAAAGTATTTGTAAAAAAGACAGAGAGAGGCGACGGCAAGTCTGTGAGAGAGTGACTGCAGATGAGATGCCAGATCGGGGCCAATTATATTGCATATCCGCCTCTGGATCTTATCAAGAATCCCGAGGCAAACAGAAGGGGCTCCAGACCATATATGGCAGCAATACTACATGCAAGGGTGAATGGTTGATTTGTAGATTTGAAGGATCAATTCCGGGGAGGAAAATTTCCTGGTTCGGCACAGGGAGCCAACTTTCCTTGCGGTGGACGAAGCAATTGACTCAATGTATTTGTTCTATCTCAGATCAGTAGACAAGGTGAGACCAAGCAGCCACAGAGAGGCGCTCTCGAGAAGTTGAGCATCAGACATTCTAATAGGGGACAGAGAAGGATCTCTGTGGTGATTAATAGAGAGCAATTTTGTTTTGGAGGCGTTAAAGTTGACCAGCCAATTACTGCCCCAGTTCACAACTGATTGGAAGTCCTTTTCGAGACGAACAGCCAGGTTAGTTTTGTCAGCGACACTAGGTTTGTTTTTGAGGCATCAAAACAAAGCAAAACTGTTATCTTGTGATATTATTAAAAGGTGGTGCTGTCATCTTGTCTATCACTATGCATGTGTGTTAGAAGATGAGAAAATGCAAATCAGATGGATTTGATGTACTAGTGCAAATGTAGAGGTACTTGTTAAAAAATGTATACTTAAGAGACTAGAGAAAGGGGGAGAGAAAGAAAAAGACTTCAGTTGATTTTTGGAAAAATAAATGAATATGGTATGAATGCTGCATGTGAATGTGGTTAACTTGATCTATGGTAGATCTTGGTTTTCTGTGAAAGATTTGTCTACCCAGCCCATTTAGGTTACAATGTTTGTTTTTATTTTAGTTATAATTAGTTTAACTTAGCTATGGAACGTATGGTCATAGGCTCTTTTTTATTTTTTATTTTTTTTAGTACTCCACATTTCAGTTTTACACTTTCCCTTGTCCTCCCCAGTTAGATGACAAAAAGTAAAGTTCTCTATTCATATGAAAATGTTTCATTTTTGTTATCATCTTGATGCAAATGATAGCAGGAATAGAAAGGATACAATAACTTGCAGTATATTCTTTACTAGCAGGAGAGCCAGGCGTTGCCCGGGGATGTAACAGTAAGAGATAGATCAAGTATCGACCATCATAAAGACTGAAAATTAAAATGGACAAAGATTATTGTTTAAGGTTGATGGACATGCATGTCTGAATTAGTTTTTTTTTTGTTTTTTTTACGAATTGGTCAAACCCAAACTCAAACAAAAACATTGTTTTCAATCGTTATGAGTTTACCGATTTAATAGAATTTTATTATAAACAATTGTCTTGTAAATGGAATTTTTAAAGCATTCTGAATGTAAAAATAAAGAAAAAAGTGTGCAAGACAATAAGAAACTACCTGCCAAAAAAAAAGTGAAGCTTTGTTGAAATCGGTTGAAAAATGTAGGAAATCCGATCCCATATATAAAGGAACACACACAAACAACATGGGTTTTATGATAAGTATAACTCGATATGAGTTGTCCCCCTTTCATTCTTGTGACAGCGATGCCTCTTAATCTTTTCAAATTAATTTCGTGCAAAAACAATTGTGTTTTTGCAATTTTTGGCATTGTCAGAACCACCGCAAGGTAATTTTACATAGTCCTGTGAAGTTTTGTTGAAATCGGTTGAAAAATGTAGGAAATCTGATCCAATATATAAACGTACAGACACACACACACACACACACACACACACAATCTGCGTTTTTTAATAAGTAAGATTATATTATAAAAACTAGGGAGGAGATAGAGTAAGTTTATTTTCAGGAATAAAGATTTACAAAAAAATCTAACTAAAA